TTTCACCATGGGGAGCTCCAGTTTTGTTCGTCAAAAAGAATGATGGATCTATGCGTCTTTGTATTGATTATATGCAACTCAATAAAGTGACTATCAAGAACAAGTTTCCCAAAAAGATTAAAGCTATTTTAGAGTGAAAAGTTCCAAAGAATGTGTCAGAAGTCCAGACTTTTTTGGGGTTAGCTAGATATTACCAAAGGTTTATTAAAATCTTTTCGATAATAGCATTACCCTAACTAAATTATTGAGGAAAGAGATAAAATTTTTGTGGACTCTAGAGTGCCAAGAGAGTTTTGAAAGGTTAAAGAAGATTTTGACAGAAGCTCCAGTGTTGATTCAACCCGAGTCAGACAAGAACTTTGTAGTGTCCAGTGATGCGTCTCATAATAGTTTAGGATGCGTGTTAATGCAAGAAGGCAAGGTGGTGGCCTATGCTTCGTGGAAACTAAAACCTCATAAGAAGAATTATTCAACACATGATCTGGAGATGGTTGTTGTAGTGTTCGCTCTTAAAATCTGGCGTCACTACTTGTATGGTAAACGATGCTACTTGTATACAAACCATAAGAGTTTGAAATATTTAATGACTCAGAAGGAGTTAAATTTAAGACAGAGAAGATGGGTGGAATTCTTAAAGGATTATGATGTAGTGATCGATTTACACCCGGGGAAAGCGAATGTGGTAGCGGATGCCTTAAGTCGAAAGATGTTTGCAGCCTTATGAGCTTTGGATGCTAGACTATCATTAAGAGAAGACGGTGCCATATGTGCGAAATTGACTCTCAAGCCATCATGGCTAGATCAAATTAAAGAATTACAAACTAGAGATGAAAAATGTTCAAAGAAGCTACAGTAGATAAGAAATTGAGAGGTTACAGATTATAAAATAAAGACTGATGGGAACCTATATTATCAAGGGAGGCTAGTGATTCCAGATGATAATGAGTTGAAGTAAGACTTATTAACAGAAGCTCATTGTAGTCCATTGACCATGCATCTGGGAGGAAACAAAATGTATATGGATCTCAAGAGTCGATATTGGTGGCCTAGAATGAAGAGGGATATTTCGGAATTCGTATTCAAATGTTTGACATGTCAACAAGTTAAAGCTGAACATCAGGTTCCGTCATGATTATTGCAACCAATGTCTATTCCTCAGTGGAAATGGGAGAATGTAACAATGGATTTTGTAACGGGGTTACATTTGACTTCGAATAAAAAAGACTCCATCTGGGTGATTGTAGATATATTGACTAAGTCAGCTCATTTTATTCCGGTACGAGTTGACTTTTCTATGGTTAAGTATGAGGAGTTATATATTAGGGAGATTATACGTCTACATGGTGTACCTATTTCTATTGTTTCGGATCGAGATCCTAGATTTACTTCAAGGTTTTAGAAATCATTACATAAAGCGTTGGGAACTCGGTTGAACTTTAGTACAGCGTTTCATCCTCAAACCGATGGGCAATCCGAGAGAACAATCCAAATTTTGGAGGATATATTGAGAGCTTGTGTTATCAAGTTCAAATGATCATGGGAGAGGTACTTGCCACTTGCCGAGTTTGTATACAAAAACAATTATCAATCAAGTATCAAAATGACACCTTCTGAAGCTCTTTACGGAAGAAGATGTTGTACGCCTCTAAATTGGTTCGTGCTTAAAAATAAAGAAATTCTTGGTCCTGAGTTGATCCAGGAAGTGGAAGAAAAGGTCCAAGTAATTCAAAGTAATCTCAAAGTAGCAGCTGATAGACAGAAATCATACGCGGACCTAAAGAAAAAATAGATAGAATATCAAATTGGAGATAAAGTGTTTCTCAAAGTTTCTCCTTGGAAGAAGGTGTTGAGGTTTGGTCGAAGAGGGAAATTAAGTCCTCGGTTTATTATACCTTATAAGATCGTAAAGAGAGTTAAACCAATGGTATATCAATTAGCGTTGCCACCTGAAATGGAGAAAATTCATGATGTCTTTCATGTTTCAATGCTTCTGAAGTATCAATCTGATCCTTCCCACATTGTGACTCCAGAAGAGATCGAGATTTAATTGGATTTGACGTATAAAGAAGAACCAATTCAAATCTTAACCCATGAGATTAAGCAACTAAGGAACAAGATTATTCCCTTAGTTAAAGTCTTATGGAGAAATCACAAGATAGAGGAAGCAACGTGGGAACGTGAAGAGGACATGAGGATTCAATACCCCCATCTCTTCGTGTAATGAAAATTCGAAGATGAATTTTCTTAAAGGGGAGGTTTGTAACATCCTCAATAACGGGATTAAATTACAAGGAAGATAGAATTAAAGGATATAATGGTCATTACAAGGAAAATAATTAATTTGGTTAGATATATATATGTAGGCCACATGTATGTGAGGAAACAAATATCCAAGCTTCTAGACAACTCTTCTTCTCTTTTCTTCTCTGTGCGTGTGAGCTAATGTAAAGATATAGAGTGTAATTCTATTCCGAACAATCGAATGATTATAATCGAGTCAAAGCAAGGCTAATGTGAGTGCATATCCTAGATGAAATTGTATTGAGATAAGACTTGCGATGAGTCTATCTCCTATAGTTAAACTTATAATTTCATATTCATGCACATGCATATTTATATAGGTATTAATGTTATGATGATTTTATGCCTAATTCATTCATGCTTTAAAATGAACTTATATGAATGAATGCAATTATATGAGGACCCATTCAGGTATGGGAAATAATGGAAATGAACATGTGTATTCATATGAAGTGAATTATGTATTATGTGAAAAGTGATAAAAGAGATATGGAAATGAGAATTGTAATTATAATTAAGCCCATGTTATTTAATATGAGAGTTGTAGGTATAATTGGCATGCCAAGAGTCGAGGGATTATCAGTGGTCCTTCGAGACATAGTGGTTATTCGGGACAAATATTCAGTGCCCCTAGTGGGATTTTATTCAAGCTGTGGTGACAACATTGTGCATAACCTCAGTGTACTCGCATACCTTCTGTTCTCAATAATGTACATGGGCAGTCCAAAGATAAATTAAAGTGAAATTAGCATAAGAATATATGTTTTATATGTGCATGTCACCATCATATATGTTATAGTGTAATAGATGTATGCAAATTAAAATGTCATGATCAGAGGGTAAGAATGCATGTTCATGAATGCATTGTTATATCAATATATTTATATTATGCCTCACTAAGTATGTGACTTAGTGTGTAAGTGATTTACACGTAGGTACCAAGAATCCAGAAGAGCAGAAATAGGGGTGGCAAGAACAACATCATTGCTAGAAGACCAGATCAGAAGTAACTGATACGTATATATTTTGTTGTGTATAGTGTGTTGGCATGTAAGTAATGTGTTAGTTACGAATGTTCTGGTCGTTTTTGTATGGATTTGGTCAACTTTTTGTAAGTCAACAACTTTTATTGCGATGAAAGTTTCAAAATTTCTTTGGTTTTCATTAAGAGTCAAAGTTGAAATGTCAATGTGACACCTCAGACTCGTATCCGGGTCGGGTACGTGTTGGGGGTGTTACAGATTCGGTGGTAAAAGAATTGTTATTATTTCTTGAGGATCCGTGTCCAAGCACCATAAATACAAAGAGTGTGCAAACAACATTTAGGCTTAGTTTGTTTTCACTGTACAACCTCTTCAAACCTCTTCTGTTTGCGCCGCGCAGACCATGCGCAAACATTAGGTTTCGCAGACCGTTTATTTTTTAGAAGACATAAGCTCTTCTAACGTCTGCGCGAGCTCTTCTTGGTGCAGGCATGGTTTTATGTCTTCAAAGGTCTTCAAACCTCTTCAAGAACAATTATAAAATATGATTATTTATTAAAATAATTTTAAATAATTTAATAAGGTTATTTATTTTAAAATAAATTATTATAAAATATGGATTGATTTATTTTAAAATAATTTATTTTAAATAATTTATTAGTATGGATTGATTTATTTTAAAATATGGATTGATTTATTTTAAATAATTTATTAGTATGGATTGATTTATTTTAAAATATGAATTGATTTATTTTAAATAATTTATTAGTATTGATTGATTTATTTTAAAATATGGATTGATTTATTATTGTAGTTGTATGGATTGATTTATTTTAAATAATTTATTAGTATGGATTGATTTATTTTAAAATATGGATTGATTTATTTTAAATAATTTATTAGTATGAATTGATTTATTTTAAAATATAGATTGATTTATTTTAAATAATTTATTAGTATGGATTGATTTATTTTAAAATATGAATTGATTTATTATTATAGTTGTATGGATTGATTTATTTTAAATAATTTATTAGTATGAATTGATTTATTTTAAAATATAGATTGATTTATTTTAAATAATTTATTAGTATGAATTGATTTATTTTAAAATATGGATTGTTTTATTATCGTAGTTGTATGAATTGATTTATTTAATAATTTATTATTGTAGTTGTATGGATTATTTAAATTTCAGTATTGTAAAACTAAAATTATTTAAATCTCAGTATTGTAAAACTCTTTTAGGTTTAAAAAATCAATTTATTTATATTTCAGTTCATTTTAGTAGTCTGCAGACGTTAAAAAATAAATAATCTTCTTCTTGTAGACTACAGACTTTTGGTCTACCTTTTCTGCTGTAGATGCCTGCAGATGTGATCCACAGACTGTAAACCTTTTACTCTGTAAAAACAAACACCACCTTAATGTCAAAAGATTAAGAATGATTTTTTAACATATAATAAATTTGAGTTTGACCAGTCGTCAACCACCACCGCTAACTCTTATTTTCTCTACTCCAATGGCTGCCCCACCGCGCACTCTCTAGACAGGATCTTCTTAGTGGAAACATTCTGAGATCATCACAGAAAATACCCACTTTTTCTTCCTCTTTTTTATACCTAAATAACCTTTCCTTTCTTTTCCTTCTCCCAAAAAAAACCCTAATTCATATCACAGAGAGTGAGAAATCAGCAAGGTTTTGGAAGCTTTGCCATGGATTCCGGTAAGCTACCAGGCTCGTCTTCATCAAGCGAGCCTACGTTTTTGGGTCCACAAGGACTCAACCGTGGTTCATTCCCGAGCTCATCGTCGGTTCAAACAAGGCCACCTCATGACAACAACCATGGTGTAAGATCGTCGACAAAGAATCCCAAGAAGCGAACAAGGGCATCGAGGAAGGCACCCACTACAGTTCTCGCAACCGACACAAGGAATTTTAAAGCAATGGTGCAAGAATTCACTGGAATCCCTGCACCACCACCATCGTATTCTCCAAGGCTTGACCTTTTTGGTTCTGCAGGCTCAGGTCATTTGGAACAATTAGGTTCTCTTTACCCTCTACGTCCCTCGGCTAAAAGGGTTCAACCAACTCCATTTGCATCCTCATCATCTTCTCCTTCATCCCTAAATAATCCTTTACTCGATGCTGCTGATACCATTCCGATTGACTATCAACTTCACCCTTCGATTAATATGCCTGGTTTTGGGGTCGAGTCCCATGGAAGTTCAGTCCCATCACTTGATGAACTGTGGTTGAGCCGTGGTCAAGTCGATGCCAACCTGGTTAGCTCAGCACGTCATAGAAACTGGAGAGATGGGGTTGGATTGAACCAAGATCATTGGAATTATGGCAGCACTAGCTAGCTAGTAATTCACATGAAAAAGGGTTGGACTTGGGCAACGTTTGTCCTAGAGCTGAAGGTTTCTTTTTTTTTCTCCCTTAGTTTATTTCCCACTTAGTTTTCATTTTACTAATATTGTATACAGACCCTTTGTATATAGCTAATGATAATAAACCTATTAAGTCAGGTCAGTGATAAGTATAGTACTGTTTTCTTTAGAGATCTCAAATTCGAATAACTGCGTTTGTATATGGTGCGTATTGTCATTAGTTAAAAAATATTTTGAATAAATATTATATTATAATTACCAAAAATCGGTTGTCCTGGATATTATCTTACATTTAGATCTCTAAACCCTAATCATTGAAATATACACTATAAAGGAAGAAATTATTATACGCGAATGGCTTTTAGTTCTTCAGTCGATTTAGAATATGTTTGTCCATGTATTCTATTATCGAGTTGTAGTTTTACCTAATCGTATTGTACTCTTTTCCTCTGATTAAGTCTAGAGAGATTTTTAATGAGATACATATTTTAAATTTAGGGATTGTTTTTTAATCTTTAATAAAATCATATTTCCGAGAAAAAAATAATCGTTTGTGTATCATTTTGAAAGCTTAAAATGAATACAAACATAGAACTATAATATAAATGTATGAGAGAAAGAAGAAGATGACGAGAACGATGAAATATATTATTTTCCTCCATTTATGTCTAAAGAGATTTTTATCGAGAAATAATTTGAATAAATTTTATTCGATTTTTAATAAAATCTTGTTGCCGAGAAAAAAAAAGATAATGATAAAATGTTTGAAAAACAAGAACGAGAGAGGGGAATGATGTTAATGTGGCCCATGGCACACAATAATCTGGTTTTTAGCAATCAGCTTTGTTTCTTTTCATCTTTAATCTCACTCATCTGATGTGAAAGAGAATGCACTGCCGTTGTTATCAAATGAATTCTGGTGATTAAATCACGGATTACGTTTTTCTATTTATTATATTATGAAAATATAATTTAAGTAAGGTCGTGAGTTCGAATCCCAGCGATTGCGAAAGAAGTAAATTGAGTTGGGAGGATCGTCCTTATTTATGAAATACTTAATCCGGACTAGTCGTTCAATATATCGGATATCAGTGCTTATAACAAAAAAATTATAATTATGAGTTCACATTTCAATATGGCGATTTTCCCTAAAAATCACCGGTGATAGGTATATTTACTGATCTAATACCAGTCAGATTATATTTCTCGATCTAACACCCGTAGCAGTAAAGTGCGCCCCCTGTACCGCGCTATACGCTGACTGAGTTACATGTGAGGTATAGCGCCCCCTGCTCCGTGTTATACGCCACGTAGGGGTATAGCGCAGATCAGGGGTCGCGCTATACGTCGTACCAAAATTATATTTAACGCGGTCCCTGATCCGCGCTATATAATAATTACATATAACGCGGTGCATGTACCGCGCCTTATATGTTTATAAATACCTCGCATCTCTCCTCACATCTCCTCGCATCTCTCTTCTCTTATAAATTAATACAACAATTCCGTCAACGAGTAATAATTCTGACAAACTTCTTATATTTGATTTAGAAGTTCGTGCGATTTTTCATTATAAGGTAATTTTGTTATAATTTTTTAATTATACTTATTGTTTATTATCATTATTTGAAAAATATTATACTAATTATTTTTAATTATTTTTTATGTTTGTAAAATTGAAAAGCGAGAGCATACGTCGAAATAGTTTTGCGGTGCAGGTAATAATATAAAATTATATTATTTAAATTATTTACGTTGATGTGTAAAAAAATTGTGTTATATTTTCGTTCATATATAATTTATTTAATCAGGTTTGTTTAAGTTATTTTTTTGCATATATAATATTGTCGCACTTTTAAACTCAAAGAATGACGCGACTTTCAGCTATTGTTTATTATGATGGTGAAATTCGAGAAGATGAAACCGGCGTTGTTTTCGTATCAAATGAGCATGTTAAAATATTATTCAAGAGAAACATAACTCTTGAGGAGCTGATAACGAAGATTTCAAGGAAGATTCATGTTGGAAGTAACAGAAGAATGTCGTCGTTGCAATACAGATTTCCAACATCATTGTTGCCATTAACTTATACAGCGTTCGAACTTTTGAACAATGATGATGTTCAAATGATGGTTGAAGCTCAAAGTAATTATTCAGACGCCGCTATTGAGATGTACGCATATTTTGTTCAAGTGCGTGCTATTCGGGGTTAATCTTTAAGCTCACACTATGGGCTGGCTGAACAAGTTGACAACCCGACTACAGTAATGTGTAATGATTTTAATGCTATAATGGGGAGACATTCATCCGCAACTCCTTACGATATGTACCGAGGTGGGTCCACGAATAATCCGTATGGCAACACCGCGTCCAGTTCAAGGGGAAGGCATTCATCTGCAAATTTCTTTGACCATATGGAGATGCCATCGATGCAACCATCTGTGCAGTTTCCATTTGACACGATGGCTTAAAGCTCCAGGGGGAGGCATTCGACTGCGATCTTTTTCGATCTCAATGTCGATATGCCTTCCAGTTCAAGGGGAAGGCGTGCAAGTAGTAGGTTCTTCGACCTAAATGTGGAGAGCATGGAGGAACCATCATCTCCACCAGAAGAACCACTTCGTGAGCCTGGTACGGATGGTGCTGAGACTGGACTATTCATTCACCCAGAATCACCGCAATTCAACTCCGATGATGATGAAGTTCCAGGAAATGTGGCACAAACTGACCCTCCTGCACACATGTATGAAGTTGATTATGGTGCAATGTACAGGCCAGAATTTGCGGATATGACTCATCTCGATGACTATGGATATTACTCATCAATAAATAATGGTGAGTTATCTTTAGGCATGAAGTTTTCAAGCAAAGAAGAAGCGATGATGGCTATCAAAAATTACAATATACGTAATTCTGTTCAGTCCAGAGTCAACCGATCGATGACCGAAAAATATGTATGCTACTGTGCCCGACGCGAAAACGGATGCAATTGGATGGTTTGCATATCGAAAATGAAGAGGAAAAACAACATATGAGAACTAACAGTATACAACGGTCCTCACACATGTTGTGCTGGAGGGGTCAACCAAGATCATACCAACTTAGACTCTGAAGTGATATGCCAAGCCATCATGCCCATGGTAAAAGCAAGCTCTCATATAGCTGTTGCAGTATTGATTTCAGCTATACAATCGCAGTATGGGTACACCGTCTCCTATAAAAAAGCTTGGTTGGCAAAACAAAATGCCATTGTCAAACTTCATGGCGAATGTGATGCATCTTACAACGAACTTCCAGGTTGGTTTAGGCTGGTGCGGACGTTGAATCCTGGGACAATTGTGGACTTCAAAACCTCCTATGCATACCATAATGATCGAGTTCTTCGCGATCGATGCCAATTCTACCGGGTTTTTTGGAGTTACCCACAGTGCGTTAATGCTGCCAAAAACTGTAAGCCTGTGGTCCAGATCGACATGACTTTCTTGTATGGAAAATACAAGCAAGTTTTATTATTGGCAGTTGTCCAAGATGGCAATCGCAACATTCTTCCAGTTGCTTTTGCTCTTTTCGAAGGAGAAGATACAGATTCTTGGGCTTTTTTCCTCCGAAATTTACATGCACATGTTATCACGAGGGAAAAAATCTGTGTCATTTTAGATCGCGGAGCTGGGATCAAAGCAACAATGGAGTCTTTGGGTCCAATGTGGCAACCACCCTTTGTCCAACATAGGTATTGTCTCCGACACATTGCTGCGAACTATCTTGGAAGGTACAAGAAGAATGACGAGCGTCAATTAATTGTGTGCATGGGTAAGTGAAAGCAAGTTAGTAAGTTATACATTTTTTGATCATTTTAATTTTGCAAAGAAAGCAAGTTAGTAAGTTATACATTTTTTGATCAGGTTACTAACTACTTCCTCGAACGTTTGAATCAATGCTTCAAGATTTGCGGGCGAAGAACGAGGAAGGATACGATTACATCAGCCTCATCGATAAAGAAATGTGGACGAACGCATATGATGGTGGATATCGATATGGACACATGACGACCAACTTGGCTGAGGCAATCAATTCAACCTTAAAGGGTGTACGTCACTTACCTGTAGCGGCTTTGGTAAAAACTACATATTTTTGTTTGGGGGTGCTTTTTGTGAAGCTCGGGGGACAAACTCAAACCTGGATGCAAGGCAGTCATGTTTATCACCCTAGATTAGTTGCAGATCTACAGAAAAAAATTGCTGCATCAAATGAAATGTCTGTAACAAGCTTCTCAAGAAGGCATGAAATGTTTCGTGTCACAGAGTTACCGCGACATCTTCAAGGGATTGAAGCTGTGTCTTTAAGAGTAAATATAAGGGACAGAACGTGCGACTGCGGGTTTTTTCAAGCTCTGAAGTATCCATGCTCTCATGTGATAGCAGCTTGCTCGCATACACGTCAAGACTATATCCATTTTGTGGATCCCGTATACCTACTATCTGAAGTTTTTAAGGTATACGAATTTGAGTTTCCCCCTATAGGTAATGATAAAGACCCTGATAAGGTTCAAGATTGGCTTCCGATTGTACCAAATCCGAGTTTATTGAGGGAGCGTGGTTATCCAAAATCCAATCGAATTTATTGCGATATGGATATTCGAGAAAGATCTAGACAAGACAGAAGATGTGGCCATTGTAGAAACCCAGGACACACTAGAAAAATATGTCCACTTCTGTTGTCAAGTAGCAATTGATGAGGAAATGATGTATTTGTTTATCAAATAATAATTATTGTATTTTAATTTGCATTTACTTCAAGTTAATGTCATTCGATAATCGCTGATGAAGATTAAAAAACGAACACAATCATTAAATTTTATCAAACTAATAACAATTTGGTATTTAAATACAACAAACTTACAATAATAATTAAATGGTAAATGATAACCAAATTACAATAACTAATATTAAATGGTAATAAACAAAATTAACTGA